GATAATTCAAATTTAAATCAGTTGCTTCTGTTAGAAACCTTTTGACTAATAAATGGACAGATGCAATAGTGCAAAACTCACTGACAATGAGTAAATATTAAAAACAGAACAGATGAGGATAACTGAACCCAGCAGAGAAAACATCAGGGTGGGTTTTTGTTTTTTGCACCTTTAGTGCAAACAAAAGCTTATACCTCCTTAAGGTAGGAATTTGTGCAATTAAACTACAAAGGGAAGCCCTGTTGATGATTGGATCATTTTAGCATGCAACTGCACATTGCCATAGCAGAACCACTTTAGAATAAACCATATAAAGGCAATTTTGACTATCTTGAAACTGCTTTAACTCATCAGCTTCAACTGATACTAACAATTCAGAGAAGCGTCCTGCACATATTTCTTCTATATAGAAATAATTAAATATGTAAATTATTAGAAGTTCAAAGACACAATTTTGTTTTCTATCATGCTTTAGTAAAGCACTTTTTAACTGAATTTATCAAGCTGATCATTTCAACAGTAGCCATGGCCGTGTATCTGTTCATGTGTATAAAAGTGCCACTGCCTTCCAGGCTGACTTTCCTATGAAAAAAAGGTGTCTGGTGGTTGAAGTAGCTGAAATGTGTTTTAAATACCTACCACAATCTTTGAAACTATAGTAGGCTAAACAGACTTCCTGTAATGGAGGCACATTTTTTGTGTGTGCAAAGCAGTTTCTTGCGACCTCAGATCTATGTACTTAGCCTTCACGTACGTAGATGACATATATGCGCAAATTTGTTTTGACATAATATACTGTAATTTGGCATATTTATGTCTATAGTCTAGATGTAGAAATATGGCACAGAAAAATGGATAGAATTAGGATTTTACTAAATATAATTTTCAGAATAGCAGTGTACATGTATTGATCTAGCTCTGATAGCACTTTATTTTGGCAAACTATTACATTTTCCCTTAGGCTTTTCAGTACAAAACTATCATAGTAAAAGGCTTCAAGTATAGCAGTGTTATCTCATTTCTTGTACCTTTCTATAATACTGAAATTCAGGCTAAATTATCACAAAGTCACAAAAAAATAGATTATCATTACTGAAGGCACTGTATTTTTTTTGAAAATTTCATTAGTATGCTAATTCCCCTAAATGTTTGTTTTCAGTGCTGTCCTGATAAGCACTTTGCAAGTCCAATGCAAATATTAATACTGATGGGAAAAAAAGCACTTGGAAATTTGCAATTATGAATTTACCATAATGGATTCTATCCAGGAAAGTGCATGTCATCAGCTGACAGCAGCTAATGAGATGTACTGCCAATCACTGGAAAGATGAAACTATAGAGAAAGGAAATAATTATCTCAATTACTGTGCAACATACTTAGAAGGTAAGATTTAAGTACTGAATACATGAAGAATAGAGAAACAGAAATAGACACAGGTCATCATGCTGAAATTTTACAACAAATCTTATTTTTCTGATTACATTAGCTTTCCTATTACATTGCATTTGCATATAGCCATCATAGGTATTTTCATAATTTTGGAACTTGAACTTTTTCTACAACCTGGTCTCTTCAAGTGTTTTGGAAATGCAGTGCCTAATTTTCAGCCAATACGCTGGCTTCAAAATGAAACAGTTGTAGCACACCACATTTGGCACCAGTCCGGAGAAAAACTACTTAAGGCATGGGGTTCTAGCAAACAGTTCCAGTTAACTGCAATACTGTAGATTAAACTGAGGCGGGCTTGTATATTATTCTGACTTTTGGGGTCTAATGTTCCTTTTAGAGAGTATCCTGAGTCTCCTATATTCTTAAATTTACTGACAACAAAACCGAAATGTGTGCCAGATAGAATATTAAAACGTTGTCACAAAGGAAACATCGATCTTTCCATGACTAAGAGTTCTAGTTGAATGTCTGATATATTCTTACACACTATAACTGGAAGACTTTTCAGACAATTTATTCCCTTAAGCATTCTAGTGAAATAAAAATGAAAGTACAACAGAATAGAAACTTTAGCAAAGAGACACCCCCTTCTGTGTGTGTATGTACATAAACACACATACACTTCTGGATTTGGAGCCAGTATGCTTCTGGCTGTGCTGTGTGACAATGCCACTGCACTCAAATGTTGCTGTGAACTCCCCAGATAAACCCAATTGGCCACAAAGAAATTGCCTTTTGGTTTGATTGAATACTGTCTTATGTTTCCAAAGGTTTCGTTGTTATCTAAACTGCATGTATTTTAGATGTAACATTCTAAATTACTAAGTGTTAGCAATGTTGCTATTGCTCCAGATCTGGAATACTAAATACTTGCCAAAATGAATAATTATTGATTGAAGAAGTTGGTCCTTTTTTGAAGTGTTAGTATTCTCAGTTACAAATTTATTACTATCATGTGAGATAAAACAAATATAATTTGGGAATAACTGTTTTTGTCATGTGTCTGAGTAATGAAACAGGCCTCCCTAACGTGCAGGGATGGTTTGGCTTACATGGGGGAAAAACTATATTTGCCACAAGCCCTCCGTCTTAATGCTCTCAAAAGCCTAGGGGCTTTTAGTCCTGTTTAATCAGGAACAGATTTCTTAGTGATTCTAGATATTAAATCCCACTTAAGTATCCATAGGACAGTATTTTGTGTAGAAAATAGTACATCATTATGACGTTTAGCTATCCAAATGTACTGCCACTGCTACATAATATGAATATTTTTCAGAGCTTCTTTTAAAATATGAATTCCTTTAATTTCTGCATGATTATACTAAGGGCTACATATTATTTTAAATTCAAATAATAAAATCTTACTTTATTTCTATATTGATCGTTCCAGTGTTTTCCCATTTTCTCAAAAAAATTAGTACCTTATGGTACAAATGTATGGATATCTATTGAGAAGTAAGTGAAAACAGACTTCAATAGGACTTAGCCCCAAGTAAGTAGATGAAGGATTTCAGCTTTAGACAAAATATATTATGTGGTAACACTGGCCAGAATTGAAATTACCATTCAAATAAAAATGCAATTTTGAAATTTTATAAATAAATGAAACAGTATCATTATGTGCTGATCTATAGAATTCATATGAAAAAATAAGCTTCTTCTATATTTCAGTTTTCTCATAATGTCTGGTTTGGTTTGGTTTTTCTTTCCCCTAGAAAACCATACTAGCTAAACCACTTTTTTTCTACATTCTCAATATGCATAAGAATAGATAGTCTTCCAGTTACAAGTCATGGCCTCAGGGTGCTTTACACTCCATAAAGCACTTCTAGCCACCATAAAATGTGCTCCCCCCCCAGATAACATTTAAAACTGGTTGCACCGTCTCATGATCATGATCTGTAACATTTTTTGCTGATTTTCAGCAAAACATGTCCATTTAGGAAAGTGAATTTGGACTTATGACTGTGTGATTTGCTTAATAACCACAGGATTTGGACTTACAACCATATGATTTGCTTAACAACCACTGTAAAAAAATCAGATCTGGTAAGATAGTGTGCCTTGACTTACAACCAGAATTCCAGTCCAATTGTTGTAAATTGAGGATTACCTGTATAAACTTCATACAGTAGCTCCTTATAAAAGATTTTACGTTTTTGAATTATAGATAGAAACTGCTTCATACTGTTATAAACTTTGCACAGCACTGGATACAGTACAGACTTCTAACTGGGAATTTGACAGTCAAAAATAGATTAAAAGGTAAAAAAAAATCAGCAAATGGCAAATGTACAGGAAATATTCAGGAGTAATTAAGCTATCAAGTATCTATTAAAGAGTTATGAGTATTACTTTAAGAGATGATCTATACATCCAGTAGGCATTCCATTCACTCTTAGTGAAACTGGCTTAAGATGAACATATCAATAACATTATAGAAAAGAGTAGCTTATAACAGAACTGAAAGGATTTTTGCTTATAGATAACAGGGCCACAAACTGTCATTATTCATAGAACTAAAACATATTACTTCTATAAGTAAGTCATACAATGTATTAAATCCATCATTCTGACTTTGATACTTTGGTTTGCAATTCCTTTTTTAAGGTTAAACTATGAAAACATATTACAGCATGCCTCTGTAAAAATAACAAACACTTCTTGCTCCAAAATGAACATAATGCATCTTTAAATTTGTGAAAGTTGGCTTTCTCTTAATTGACAATATTACAAATGAGCCTTTCCAATACATATGAAAGACACGGAACAAGATGAAACACAGAAAATATGTTGAACACAAATTACATACAGAATTAAACTACTGATACAACTGAAAAGAGAAAGGTAAAAGAAGATTTTCAAAAGTAAAAGGTAAAAAAAACCCCACTGTAGATACTTGATTGTGAATTACATTAAAAATATCTAGAGTATGAGTACCTGTATAAAAGTATAGAAAAAATGTAGCTGCTATCTAAAGCAAGACAAATTTTAAATTCTTTGATGGAAGGAAACCTGATGGAAAAAAATTAATGCTATATCTCATATAATAGTGGTAGCTGAAATCTAAACAAGTTGGTATATTTAAAAAAATAACACAGAAGTCAAAAACTAAAGAGACCTGTGCATTAGTAGTGCTTTTGAATGCTTTTTTTTAAAAAAAAAAACTTCTGGTTGTATCCTGTCAGAGTGCACGGAACAGTCTGTTCCAGGAGGCCTTTATAGGTCTTTGAAGATCTTCAAAAGCAGCTCTGGAGAAAGTAATAGAGCTAAACATAAAAAAAAGAGCTAGAAAAGTTGCATTGTGGGTAAATGCAATATCATCCTTTGTGTCCTATATATACAATTTATAGCCCTTAGCCCATAAAGCATAATAATCCTTTAACAATATCCATCTTCACTTGACAAAAGGTTTGAAATTATTTAGGTCCATGTCATTTTCCCACTAAACAATGTAACTTCTTCATATTATTACCTGTTGTTATAACTTGAGAAAGCAAAAAAAAAATAAAATTCTAGAATGGCAACACAAACTTTTTAATAAAATTGTACCAGAGCATGTTTTAAATTACTAGTTGTTGGACTTATGGTTAGTGAATTTAAAGTGCATCTAAAGATCAATGGTAATTTTAAACCAATTCCATGAGCTACATGACATCTGAATGAAATCTTAATGAAGATGTTGATTTCATCCATTTTTATCTCTCCCAAATCAGCCACTAAACAGCATTCTCCTCAATACTAAAAACTGGCTTTGCTAGATTTAAATAAAAGGATTTACTATAGAAAGCTGCTCCTATTAGGATAAGTTTGGAGGGTAACAGCTGCCTGTCAGTTCTTTCTCATAAACCCAGCACTCTGGGAAAAAAACTGTATGATGATTTGACAACTGAAGTTGACTAAAATCTTTCTCATTTATACCACACGAAGTCATAAATTCAACTGGGATCTGTAAGTCTATTAACATACTATGAGAAATTTTACTGATTTGCAAATAATGCAAGTTTCAGGCAGCATAGGAGTGTCATAATGCCTTGACAGTGATTTTAGGCACATGGCCGATTTATTATAATTGGCTACTACAACTTTCAGACAATAAAATAGGCACTATAAAAATGGCAAAAATATTTAAAAGCTGTTTCTATAATTATAAAGTGATAATGTTATTTAATACTTTTTCTACCTTAAATTCCCTTTAAGCAAGCAAATGAAGTATTCAGAAAAATCTATTAACCTATGAAAAGTGATCATTCAAAGATAAAACAGCACTCATCCAATTAAAACAATTCTTCACAAAGGTGCAAATGATTTAACTACTGCTTTTCAGGCTCACATAGGCAGGTCAGTACTGTTATGTCTAGTTTTTCTAGAAGTACCGTCGTCTCGTGGCAGTGCTTTCTGCAAGTTTGACATAGCAGCAGTTCTTTCAATATCTATCACAGCATATAGCTCGGTGCGCCTGGTTGGTGTTGGGGGAAGTGGAGTAGTAGGAGTTTTGGGAGTCTGTGGGTTATCAGAGTCACTGCCACCTTCCAAATCAACTTGTATATAATTGAGTTGCCTGTGTTCTGAACTTGGTCGCCTAATATCAAAATTGAAGACCGTAGGGGTACAGTCCCGACGTCTTGCATATTCAACTTTGTGAGCACTTGATGGTACTGTTACATTCTCTGTATTGACATAATTATGCATGGGGTCTAAGTTATTATGATAGCCATTCAAAGAGGGAGTCTTTGGTCCTAAACTGTCATCCTCCTCTTTACTTAGCTTATGAGCTTCCCAAACTGGAGGCAAAGAAGGAAGATTTTCATAATTTAACAGTGCAGTTCTCCTTTGAGCTGAATTGTTGATGTTTTGAGTATCAGAAGTACTGGATGACACTAGACGACCTCTCCTGAGGCCTGGAGCATTAGGGATAGACAATCTATTTACATTTTCATATGTTAGTTTATTACCAGAAGAAACCTCTTTGCGTTCATCACTGTCATATCCAGTATCCCATTCACTGTTACTATTTCCACCAGCTTGAGTACTGCTACCACTTGTTTCAATATTGTTCCCACTAATTTGAATACTGTTCCCACTTGATTCCAGTTTTTCCTTCTCCATTAATTGTCGCTGGACAGGGGTAGGGCCCAAAACAAATTTGACTCCTTCAGGTTCCAGTACAACCTGGGCATCCCTGTCATCAGAGCAAGTCTCTTCTTCCTTTCCCTTGTTTGTTTCTGCACTGGGAACCTTTTGTTCCAGAGGTGTGCGTGCAGTTGGTTTGTTTTTTCTTTCCTCCTGTACGCCTGTTGTATTCACATATGTATGGACCTGCAAAAGATAAGAGTCAAATGTCAATCTTATACATTACCATATTCTTTTTTGACTCCTGATCACATAGATTTATTATACCCAACAGTGGTATATAATAATGTAGACATCCGGTAAACATGAAACTGGATTCAATGTACTTTCATCATATACAGGGCATATTTTAGCAGTGTTAATATAAATATATAATAATGGCTAGTTACAATAGAATTAGAATATGGAAAATTCAGAATAACTTACTTGTTCCTCCGCTACTAATAGGGGATGTGTGGATTCTTCACCTACTGAAGGAAGACGTGCACTTCCTACTGAAGGGTGTCTGCTGGAAGGATGTGATGAGGCATCTCCATAGGAGGGGTGCCTTGGGTACCCATTAGGTAAATTCTGCCCACTCAATCCAGGTGCTGGTTAAAAAGAAAATCCAATTATTCCATTGATACCAATAATATTATTCCTTCAAAAATATATATTAAAAAATACTAATTCACTACAAGTTAGATTGTAACAACTGCAGGGGCTTGTCCAGAGAGTTGCCAGGAGTCAAAAACTCAGAAAGCACACAGACTCAAACACGGTAATAAAGAGCTCAACAGAATTTCATATCAGCATTTTATCTTAAGGAAAGCAAATTTTGTACTTTCTGCTCAGGACAGAAAGTATTAAAATGGCCCCTTGGAGTAATTATTTATTGATTTTTAATAAGTAACAAAAATGAGAAAAAAGAGCAAAAAAACAAAGACAACGGGGATACATACATTGTCAAAGAGAAAAAGAAAAACACATAAAACATGCTTTAACAAAAAAGTGAAAAAACAAAGAAAAAACATAGCACGATAGGTCATTATAACAATAGTTATAATTCTATCTATATACAGTGCATTCAGAAAATATTCAGACCCCCTTCACTTTTGTCAATTTTGTTGTGCTTCAGCCAGATTCTATAGTTGTTGAAATTCATTTTTTCTTATTAATCTATAGAGCTTGGCGCACCATCGCCCAGCTCCTCCCTCTTCTCAAAAGCAAAAAAAAATCTTCACTAACCTGCTTTCCAGCCCTGGCACATTTCTCTCCTGCTGCAGGGAAACGGAGTTTGTGAGACTAAAAAAGTTCAGTCAGACCTTCCAACTTTGCGAGATCTTTTTTTTCTTTTCACGAGAAGTTGGAAGGTCTGACTGAACTTTTTTAGTCTCACGAACTCTGTTTCCCTGCAGCAGGAGAGAAATGCACCAGAGCTGGAAAGCAGGTTAGTGAAGATTTTTTTTTATTTTCGGGAAGAGGGAGGAGCTGGGCGATGGTGCGCCAAGCTCTATAGCAGCGCTGGGAAAAGCGGCAGGAAACGGGGCTGCCATTTCGAGAACAAAGAGAGATACGGGGCGATGCAGGGTGGCAAGCAAGTGTTCTTCTCTGCTCTGCATCGCTGTGCAGAGTCGTTCTCCTCCCTGTTCTCTGTTCTCTCCAGTGGCGGTGACGAAAAGCTGGCGGAGGGAGGCGGCGGTCACGGCGCAAGCCATGGGAGAGTTGGTAGAGGAGGCTGCCGCTAGGCAGGTGATCTGTGGGCCAGAGCATGAAGAAAGCCCCTCCAGTGGCACACAGCAGCAGCGGAGCCTTTCACTGTCACTCCCCCTGGCTCCGAAATGGCAGAGGAGAACCAGACCTATCCCACCCATCCTCCGTAGGGTAGCTTGGCAGTCCAGAAGGGGACTGAAAGGGAGCAAGGAATGGCCTCGCTGGGGGGGCCTGAAGGAAGCGGGCACGTGGCGCGTGGGACAGCTCCACCCCCTCCACCTTTCTCACCTCGTGGGGGCAGTGGTGTGATGTGCCGTACGGCCTCCTGTCACACTGCGGCAGCCAGGTGGGACGGAGTGGGCGGGGTCCTAATTAGAGCTTATTTTTGCAGTAGGGCTTATATTAGGCACACCCCCACAAATCAGGGTAGGTCTTTTTTTCGGGGTGGGGTTTATTTTTCGGCAAGCACGGTAGCAAACATATGTAAATCCCAGGCCAAAGCCCCATTCTGAAGTCTTTCCAATAGATCACCTCAGTACAGCCAGAGGGCCAATATGTCTTAGTTGCTTTTGTACAGTAGACCTCTCCAATTTAAACTCTGTCCTGACTCCACAGTAAGTTGTCATAGTTCACTCCCAAGACAATCTATCTCTGCCGACAACATTCCCCACCCCTCCAGAAACTTTCAGTAACAGTTGCTAACATTCCATTCTTATCAGGTGTCATCTTGAAAAAAATATATAGGATTGAATCCCTTATGACACATTATTTTAGTCCACTAATTCCTATATATTTCCTCTAAGACAGGGCTTTTCAATCTTTTCACCCATTGTACCACTTTTAGGATATGGCAATATCTGAGTACCACCAGTTGCCTAGCAAGGTGTCAAAAACCTGATGACCAAAAAAAAAAAAAAAAGGAAAAAAGTGATAAAGTACAGGTAGTCCTCGACTTACAACAGTTCGCTTAGTGACTGTTCGAAGTTACAATGGCACTGAAAAAAGTGCCCCCCAAGCCACAGCCGAGCAAGACACCTGCCTGCCCACCTGGCGGCGCTCTTCCTCCTGTCCCAGGTTTTCATTGTTGTGAGCATTTCTGTTGANTGCAGCAGGTTTTGGTCACTTCACATGACCCTGGGACACTGTGACCATCATAAATATGAATCAGTTGCCAAGCATCTGAATGTAAATCACAAGACCCTGGAGATGCTGCAACATTCCAGCTGATCGGCGCTTCTTCTGGGCTCAGCAGAAGTGCCAGGATCAGTGCTGCTTTCCAGCTGATTGGTGCTTCTTCAGGGCTTAGCAGAAGCACCAGGATCAGTGCCGAGCTCCAGCTGGAGCCTGGCGCTGATCCTGGTGCTTCCACTGAGCCCTGACAGTCCCAAAGAAGCGCTGGTCCTGGGGCTTCCGCTGAGCCCTGACAGCCCTGCAGCTTCAGCCATCTCTCGCTCAGGCTTGTGCGGTGCTGCCACCGGTTCAGGTCATTCCCCTCCCCCGCTACTTTTCTAGGATGGTCGCGTACCACCTGCCAGGTGCCAATGTACCACAGGTGGTACCCGTACCACTGGTTGAAAAGCCCTGCTCTAAGATATTAACCATCATGTAGTATGAAAATTATGTGTAATAATTATCACTTGAAACATTCAGAGTAAAAAAAATTGGCAACCTTAACAAATCATATAAGCCTAGTCAATGAACCACTCATACATCAACTTACTGGTAGGTGTGAGAGGTGTTCTTGGAACCTCAATCTCTGTTTGATGTAGACTCCTTTCTACAACTGGTTCTTCTACTACATTTATACTATTATTTTGCATGATTTCCTGCAGCATATTAAACAGTTCCTCTGCACGAGCACACTTGAAGGCAAATATCCCTGCAGAAACATATATTAGACATCATAATAATGTATGTATGCATTATCCTTTTACTCATATACCTGTTAATGAAAGAGATCTATTATATTTAATATTAAAAATTTTAACAATTATAAGTTCCTGCAATTCCCAAGGAGAATTTTTGGTGTCTATATCAGAAAACTAGTTTCAAGACTGTAACTGCAGACTGAGAACTTTAGAGTACGCTTATAGCCTAATGTGCTTAGCACAGGACGTGATATTACTATTGTCTCTTACAAGAACATACCGTGTTTCCCCAAAAGTAAGACCCTGTCTTAATTTTGGGCTCTGAAGTAAGCACTAGGTTTTACTTTTGGGGAGGGCTTACTTTTTGCCAGTACCAGTAGGCCACGAGCGTGCGGGGGTGGGGCAGGGCCTGTATATGGGGTGGAGAAGCAACACAGCGGCAAGAGCATGATGGCGGACTGGTGCAGCCGTGGTAGGGGGCAGTGGAAAGGGCACCGAGCCTGATGCGGGGTGAGTCGGCCCAGATCCAGAGTGCTGCCCCGCCACCAGCCTGCCAGGCGAGATCTCAAGAAGTTAAAAAGTATGATTGAACTTTTTTTTTGTCCCACAAACATACGGCGAAAGCTGAGAAGCAAACAGAGAAACGCAATGCAGCTGAAAGGCAGGTTAGTAAAAAACCGCTTGGGGAGGCAAGGGCATCTGGGTGGGGGCGGACGTGGCAACCTTACCCTGCGCAGCTTCGGCAGGTGTCTGGCAGGCGGAGGGAAGCAACTCCATCCCCCTGCCACCTGCCTTGCCTCCTCACCTCATGGCGGTGGCGGCAGCAGCCGGGCAAAAGGTGATCCGGCAGGAGCAGCTGATAGAGGCCAATAGCGCCCAGTCGGCATGAGAGCTGCAGCGCACGCCAGGGACCGAAGAGCGCTAGGTTCAGCCCTTAGCCCAGCACCTGCAGCATCGAGTAGATGTGCAGGCTGGCGCTCAAGCAGCCCAAAGGCGGAGGTGTGCCAGCATGGTTCCTCAGGCAGCCACTGGCGAACGGCCCTCGTAGGCCGGCACTCTGGATTTGGGCCGATTCGCCCCGCGCAAGGCAGGAGCAGCCCAGTAGAGCAGCCCAGAGCAGTGCAACCAGGTGGGCAAAGAGCCCCGTGAGGCAGAAGCAGCACAGGCAGCCACTTGGCTGCCACATGGTACCCAACGCGGCCAAGAAATGTCCCAGAAGCAATAGGGCCAGCAGGCAGGGCAGGCAGAGGCTGGGGCTCGCCGAGGCTTTGGTTCGTTGCGAGCTCAGGCAAGCAGACAGTGGGACAGAGAGGGCAGGGCCGGCGGTAGCTGGTTCCACTGGCGGCCACTGGTAAAGGGCCCTGGCAGGCCAGCGGCGGGGGGGCTGGCGGCTGCACGGAAGATCTGAACTGACTCGCCCCGCCTCGCGCTAGGGCTTACTTTCGGGTGAGGGCTTATATTTAGCCCACCCACCCCCCAAAAAAAATTCAGCTGGGGCTTACTTTTGGAGTAGGGTTTACTTTCGGGGAAACACGGTAGTTTCACAATTAATACATTTCAAGTTTTCTGGTCAATTATAGTACCAAAATTAATGTAAACTTCCTACATAAAGAAGTAAGAAGGATCTAACACAAGGTGCACAGTCCAGATTCATGTCACCATTAAAACTTAAAGGACCAGAAGACAGATATGAATAGAACAAATAAAATAAATCTGATTTGTTCTCAAGGATTGAAAACAGAAACAAAATAAGCACTATCAAAGATTTTCCTCTAGAGTTGTTCCATGAAACCCAACTTATTCTCATTAGCAAAAGAAAACAGTATAGTTGCAGTGTTGTATTATTTTCCCATTGAAAGCATTAAGTTGACATTCTTATTAGCAACTGTGTCTTTGCTGCTATAGCTAGCTTATCTAACATCAAATATTTAATTAAATAATATTAAAACAATTATGTACTATTCTATTCAAGCCAGTAATAAATTTCAACTCAATACCCCCCTTTAAATAGTAACCTGTTGACTTAGTGTCATGCAAACTTCCTAATGGTAGATAGGCCATGCACTATACTATACTGTCTGGGATGATGCTACCTTTGAAGAAAATTGTCTAGCCCTCAAGGAAAGTAGGTTTATAAACTTGAAATGTATTAAGAATTTTCCCTTATAGAGCAATTTTAACAAATGTGATTCTAAATAATAAGACTTTTAAAATGCTTCCATTCTATACCAACTGGAGTTGACATTATGAAAGCTGTAGTGCAGCAGTCCCCAAACTTGTGGGCACCAGGAACTGGTTCCATGGAGACAGATTTTTCCGCAGACTGGAGGGGGTGTGGTTTCACATGCTGCCCGCATCCCATGGATGGGGCATTGCTTGTTTGCGCGACCCGGTTTCTGGCATGCAACGGACTGGTGCCAGTCCATGGACCAGTGGTTGGAAACCCCTGCTGTAGTGTATAACCAATAACTTCAATACACAGTGAAGACTAGCATTTTAAGATAAAACTATTTTTACAGAGTTACTTAATGCTGAAACATACAACTCATGCAAACAGGAAAATAATATTATACTACACATTAGTCATAAATTAATAATTTGGATAATTAGATAATAAACCATAAAGACATACATTATTTATACTGCATGTAACCATACTTCCTGAACAAAAAGCTGAAATGTTGATAAATAGATGGGGTCATGTTTGTGTGTTGTCAAATATAATTGGATCCTGAAAATATGGTTAAATATTTCTATTTACATGAGCTTAGTTTTTAAAATGCAATAAAAATGATATTTAACTTTTGAGAATATAAACATGTTTACAATTTATGTCACTTATCTACACATGAATAGTGTGGGAGAGTCTAAACTGAGACGTGATTTATACAAGGCCATTATGCAAGTTCAATGACTCACAAATGCACTTTCCCTGATATTTACTTTCAGCAGAAGCACATTGTATACCAACATGAAGTTCCAAATAGCCACTGATAAAAACTATCCTCTATGAAATTGTTTAATTTTCTCTTAAAGCTCTCTAAATTAGTAGCCACCACACCTCCTTGAAGCAATCAATTTCTCATTTTATAACAATTTTTTTTAACTCATACTAAAGCCATTATCTGGATTCAGTTGTAAAAAAAGAGAGAGAAAACATCAATTTAGTTCCTTTCCAGCATTTTATCTTGCTGTGGTTCATTTTTAAATTAAAAATCTTTCTTAATAAGAAAAGTGCTATTGTATCTTCATCATACCACTCTATATTTTCTCCTAATTTCCCTATGTGACTACAGATTTTGGCCATTGTATTTTTTTTTTAAATCCAATAAACTCTAATTGAAACATGTCTTTTTCCTGCTGTCACTGATCATTCAATTGATGGTGTGCAGGTCAATGGAAACATGACTCTAAAATTACTTTCTTGATCAGCGAATGCCAATTAGGTTAATACTGTCTAATGTCAATAAATTTCCTTAACAACATAATCCTATGTTGCAGGACATCATTTCAGGTTGAAAAGGTTGGGTTTCCTTCTCCAAATACTGTATATAGTATAGTTCCAACCTTATGGTGAAGAGGGGGAATCTGATAGACACCATTCCTAATTTCCTTTCATGCCAGGTTCTTTCTGTCACTGGTTATCTCTGGTTTTGGAAAAGCCTAAAAAAAGGGGCGAGGGGGGAGGCAGAAAGCAGATGAGCAGGACTAAGCTTCCAGACTTTCTTTGATGTACCCATCCCTCTGCCAGACACAACATTCAGCCAGCTCTCATATTGATCTAAATACACTTTTTCCATTTGCCTGCAATGAAAGTTTTTAAAACTATGGGATAGCAAACACTGACCTTCTGCTTTGTCAGTAGGTTACCAGTAGGGCTTTGAACTTGTCAGAGCACTTGAAAAGCTCAAAAGAATAACTGTATCCATAACAGGGATTTCATTTAGATCAAATAATTCATTTAGATTAACTAAGTACAGTTGATCCAGGTTGGTTAATACTATGTATTTCTAAGTCTTCATATGTCACCAATACTATTAGCTTTACCTTATATATGAATTCCATTTAACAGACTTATAAAATAGGGAACTATTTATACATACCTGGTCCAGTTTGACATCTTCGACCACTTTCAAATGAGAAAAGATTGGAATCATAGCCATATCGGCGCAGACAGAGATAATGCCACTTGACAGAATCCCGTTTACGGGTATACAAGATTAATTCTGTATCTGTAAGTTCCATTATACCAGAACCCAATTCATTACCATCATCATCCACATTAATAACCTAGAAAATATATTTTTCAGAAAATAAATATATGATTCACATAATCAAGCTCAAATATTTATTTATACACAACCATATACTTCACTAAATATAATTGAGCAAATATTTATTAAAAACTGCTAAATAACAGAAAATAAACTTAGCATAAGCTCATTGGTATTTTATTTATTCCCAAAATATGAACATGTTTCTACATGTCACAAAATATATTTCGTATCTTTCCATCATCCATTTCAGTGGGTTTAAATAGATACAATTTATCCCAAAGATTTGGTGATATGAATTATTATATCAACTGTTTCTAGCCTGAAAATGTTACAAAAGAAAATATCCAAAGAATTTCTGTAGTAAATAATAGAGACATTCTATACACTAAGTAGCACAGATAATATAGCAGAGTATGGAGTATGATTTTTTTTTTGCAATTATTTGATTTACAGTGCTCAAAATCTATTAGTTCTGCACTAATGGGAGTTATAGTCCAAAATATACAAACACAGATTGCCTAGCACTGTATCTCAACCTTACTTAGCTCTTACTTTAACAATCAACTTGAAAATTGAGTCAGTTTTTAAAAATTACCACACAAATCTCCATCATTCCTTACAATTAATATTTTTCTTTGTCAATCCCAAATAAGAACTTTGCACTCAAAAGTTTCCATGTAGAATTGTACCTTAAATTTGTTTCGATGGTTATCAGGGACTGCTTCTTTATCAGGACAGCTACAACAGCTACCCATGACTTCTTTAGAAGACCGTATGATTACTATAGTGCAGTAAAGAGAATTGTTTTAAAGATAAATGCGATATAAAGAATGGAAAATGAAATGCAAATAACTGCAAAGTATTTAAAAACATGATAGATATTATAAAGAAATATAAAGAGATCAAATGTAAAGATGTCTTAAATATATTATGTTTAAATGCTTGAATAATGAAGAAGGAACTCCATATTTCTAAAATATTGTATTTTTAATAATAATTCATTTAATAATAATGCTCTTGATGTTTCCCTATACAAAAGGAAAGGTAACAAGGGCGAATGCAAAAGTTATATGAAACATAGTTCATTAAGTATGCTTGAGAAAGTGCTGGGCAGAATTTAATGAAGCTAAATGATTTGCAGCAAACATTAGACTGCTTGATGTAACAAGATCTTAAAATGGAAAAGAAAAGCAAATGCTGCAGGTTTTACACAAATAATGAAAAACTAGAGCAAATAGATCAATGTGTATACCTTGGTAGAATGTTTGGATGGAGAAATGTTAAGATATAAATGTTCTAGCAGAAAGGTAATGTGAGTATCTCTTTCTTTAAAAAGGGTTATAGCTAGAATACAATAGTAAACTGGCAAAGGTGCTTACTGCCACAGAAATAACTTGAACATGAAAATAAAAGCTGGAAAAACCACAATTTGTATTATCAAATAACTTTACAATCTTTTTTAGCTAATTAAAAAGCACAATAAAAACTCTGTTGTTTTTGGGCAAGAACTACCGTATATACTCGAGTATAAGCCGAGTTTTTCAGCCCATTTTTGGGGCTGAAAAATGCCCCCCTCGGCTTATACTCGAGTCAGCGTCTTGAAG